CTCCAGGTACCCGCTTCCAGCTCCAGTGAGCTCTCACAGAGGCTTTTCCCCACAGACCTATTAATTGTTCCTGAGCTCTTCTTTAGTCACTTTTTGATGCACTTCATCCCCTCAATGAGAATACAGTATGAGAGGTAAAAGCAGATTATCCTCTCCTAGCAGATGCTCCAGGCTTCCTTCAGCTGGCTAAGGCTATATTGCTCCCCACCCCTCCTCTCAAAAAACACACATCCTAAAGCTCTTAATTCACTAACCAAGTTGTGTTGTGGGGGTTTTTTGGGTAGAAACATTAAACGTGAGCGTGAAAATGTTTCTATGTACTCCATACACCAACAACAATAAACATTCACTGGACATGAGAGATTAAGACTCATGAGAGTTGAATGGCTCAGTTAGGGCATCCAGCACTTTTAGACAAAGTAGACTCGTTGTTCACAGAATAATTTCACAGCTATCCTTGAAGAATCCCTCTCTCACTACCCTTAGGAAAACAGCAAATCATTGTCACTAAATACAAATCTTGTCTCCTTGGGTAGTAGGTAGAAGAGAGGCATTGGTGTTGCCTCATGTTGTTGAAGGCACATATTTTCACAGTTTATCTTTCCCTTAAGCAATGTGACAGGTAAAAAAGACACTCACAATGCAGATCTAGAAGACTTTCTTAAATACCGTAAATTTAACCTAGAGCCCACTCACGATGCGCTCCCGAGTCTCTACTCCCAGAGAGCTCCAGTGACACTTTGGAACACCAGGGCTAGGTCTCGGGTGAGGGTATTAGGTGTGGAAGGGGACAGAAATCCGAACAAGGAACATGTAACTGATCCAACTGGTCCAAGGCCAATGAAATGCTTGCGAGTGCACAAGGACCCTATTTCACATCCCTTGTGCTTGTAATACATCATCTAGACACTATGACAATTTTGCCTCCAACTTCAGAAATGTTGGTAGAGCTACCCTAGTCTGCAGGAGAGCTGTGTGCTGGTAACCTGCATGACCTCCAGTGGAAAGTGTTTAGCTGGAAAGCAGCAGCAGAGAAGAAGTCTGCCCCAAGCAGCTCTCTCTCTCTTCAGCACTGTCAAGACTACAAAGTCATCTCTACTCTGTAAATGAGAGTTTGGTCCTTCCTTTCCCCATGCTGCTGAATACTGGTCACTTTTTCAAAATCTTGAGACAAACAGATGCAACTGTCTGCACTCATTTTACTCTGGCAGCAGGACAGTGGCTCATCTCACTGCCTGAGGACTCTGCCAGATGGCATCCGGCTATCATACCACTCGCCAATCAGGCTCCAGCCTTTCCATGCATGGCAGCAGAGCCAGGGAGCTGCTATGCCCACTCAGCCTCTAGCTGTTGTATTACCACATTGCCAAGGTTATTACCAGCAGAAGCAACTTAAAGCATCTTTGAAGAACCCAGCATTCAGTTTTCCAGCACCACAAGAACAAGGGTAAGGCATTAGACTAATTTAAAAGTCTTTTGCCTATCCAGAACTGCACTTGGTGACATAGGACAACTCTCACCATGTCTTTGCCATTGTCTAGGCTTTCTCAGCATTTCATCTAAAATTGCCTACATAAGTCTTCCAAATATAATGGTGGATTTTAGTAATTTAAGTATACATGCCTTCTTTGTTTAGAGAATATACAGCTCAGTATAACAGGCATTTCAAAGAACGGGTTAAAAAACAACCAGACCACACCATCTTTCTCATTATGCAAGTTGCTGAGAAACACAGGGAAGTGAAATTGCTGTTACTTCACTATTTCCACCACCTAAATGGATAAAAGACAGACAGGAAGGTTATGCTTCTCTGAGTTTTTTCATTCACTGTTTTAGAAGCCCCAAGGCCTGTAGGAACTTACCGAAGTCATGTGCCTATTTTTGTTAAGACACATGTTTTTCAGAATAATGTGTAAACTCGAGCCTACATGCAGTAATGAGCCTAGGTGACTGGCTTGACATTCAGACTGATCACTTGTGAAAAATGACAATCACCATTTGGCAATTTTTGGCTGGCAGAGGACTAAACGACTTTGAAATTCGACTTGATTGACTTAATCTGAAAATGAATAAACAAAATAAAAGTAACAGTAGTCAAATTCAGTGTAGAATAGAAGGCAAGATAGGATTTTACAGCACTTTCAAGAAGGTCAAAGTTTGAAAATCCTAAAAACATATTAAAAAAAAAAAAAAAGATAAACCAAAGTTTCCAGCATTTACAGCTTGATAGAACTGTTCCTGTTGTGCCCAGGATTTATGAGCATGATTTGCTGTACTGCAGAACGAGTAATGCTGCAGGATGTGAGATTTCATTACCAAGAAATGAGATCAGGAATTGGCTGTGACTGAGACAGGTGAAAACAGATCTTTACCTATAAAAGCTCAAGTATACTCTGCATTCTGCAGTCTAGACAGACCACATTGTTTTCTCATCAGTTCTTTCTACAACGCTGGAGCACTTACTTTTAAATGAACTCTGTCCTGCTATCAAGCTCCAAAGCAACATAAAAATGTATGCCACATTTCCCATTAGCAAGATGACGCATTGCAGAGTATACGACAGGAATCCTCAGGGAATACTTTGGGATTAGAAGCGAAATACTGCACAGATGGGACTGCTGGGTAAGGGAATTCCCTCTGACCTATATAGGGCTCAGAACATTTAGAGCTTTTACATCAATAGGCAAGATAGGACATTTTACCTTGTAAATATTTAAAGTACAGGCAAAAAGACATGACATACTTGAAAATCTGAAAAGACAGGGCAGTTATAGAGACGGATACTTGTGTTGCTCTTTTTTTTTTTTTTAAGTACCAAATATTCAGTAATTTCTAGGGAAGGTGAAGAAGTATGCAAACATATAGGGACAGGGACAGAATTGCCATGCAAGTTATTAGAAGGTAAAGATCAGACTGCATTTTTAATCATCATACTAACCTACGATTGAACCACAGTTATTCTCTGCATACATTCACTCTCAACCATTGGCAGTTAAAAATCTAGATTTGCTCTCCAGCAGATCACTAGAGCTACAGCATTATCTGCTGTTCAGAAACAGGTCACACAACTTGTAAAAAGCTGATAAAGCTCTCAGACAATTCCTGTGAATATGGGAAGATACTGTGTCTTTCCACCATAGCCTATGCAGTCATTGTTGTCCTCAGTATCAAGAGATCAAGTATCTGGAGGATTTGTAAAGACACAGAGGGCAGGACTGTGCTAACTCCAGCTGAATGCCAAGGAGAGCTGGACATGACTTGTAAACCCCCGACCTGACATAGGCCAGTGCAAGGTATTAGCACCATGTCACCAAGCTCATTGTTTAAGTATTCCATTAGTAGCTTCAGGTTTCCTTATACATGATTGAGTCCAGCCATTGTTTTCATACTTGGAATTGGATTTTGAAATGCTTGTACTGAACTTCTATAGGAATCTGCAAGGCTCTTTCTGCCCAAATATCTCCCTTCAGCTCCCCACTGACCTAATATGTGTTGCCAAAGCTTTGGTATCTCATAAATCAGCTATATCTGTTCTATTCAAAAAGAGACAACTGTAGAGTTCCACAACAGAGTCAAGAGTGTGCACGGTCCCACCGAGTACACCCCTGGTGCGTCACAGAGGTGGCACTACATATTTGCCCAGGGTGTTCAACAGATGCCCAATGATGCAGGCTCCACACAACCTCCACAGGGCAATCTTTTTCCAGTGTTCCACTATCCTTTTTTGCCTCTTGACAGGACACATGAACTTGTGTTGATGCAACTGGAAGCCATCACATCTTGTCCTACCCACCACAGACAAGATTAACCCCTTCTTTTAAGAGCTCTTGAAGACTTGTTTCTCTTAATCATTTCAGTCCTGCTTACTATACCCTTAGCCATATTTGATGCTCTTTATTAGACTTTCTCTTGGTTTTCTGCCATTTTCTTGAAGTATAATGCTTAACAACTGACATTCTTCCAAGATAAGGCATTGCCTATGTTTACAGAAGTCAAGGAATCCCTTCAGACATCTTGAAAGTTTTGCAGCCACTTATACATCACAAGATGACAATTTCTTTACAAAAGCATACCACTGCAGATTCATCTCCCATGTCCATGCCAAAGCCACTCTTTCCAGCTTAGCTTATAGGCATAAAAGGACAGTAGTACCTGCAATGTGCCAGATGACTGCTAGTTGGTGGTCTCCATGGATTCCTGTACACTCCATGGGCACAGAATATATGACCACATTAAGTGGTCTACCAGTGCATAGCATCAATTTGCTCATACCTCCCAAAAGTGTAGGTGGGGACTCCAGAAAGAACAGGTTACATTTTGTACCATCTACATTTCCTACAGTAAGTCCACTCTTTTAACACTAATAAAAAAAAGCTCCTGCTGCCACTGCCTACCTTTCACAACCAGATTTCAGCCATCTCAATGGTTTACTGATAACTTTCACAAATATTATACTAATTTTAAAACAACACTTATGCTAAAACACATGACCATTCCAATATTCACACATGCTTTCTTTTTCTAAAGTATATTTTGTACCGAGCATTTAAAAAATATTAAACCTTGCAAGCTCTCTATGACAAAACATTAACATTTCCTTGATCATATGGAGAAACCGCAGCTTAAGTCAACTGCCCAAAGACACAGAGTGAGTTGAGTTTTAGACATCAGTTCTTTCTTATACTAAGCACATTTATGTTGAACCTGCAGAGAACGGACAGCTGTACAACACTCAGCAACCTGCACGGATGCACAAAATTCATTTTCTCCTGATAATGAGAAACAAACACGACATGGAAAGAACACTACTCAATACCAAATGCATGCACCTGACCACAAAGTGCAATTGGAGACTACAAGGAGAGCACTGTCCTTCAACATAGTCGCCTGATGGCCCTACTCCCACAAAATACATGGATTTGCACATTCAAACAAGTAATCTAGATACACTCTGCCAGAGGAAAATGTGCCCTTTCTAAGTCCTTCAGTTTGAACCTTACCTTTCCACAAGCTACCATGGACAGGGCAAGCTGGTACCAGAGGTGAAACTCATCAAATGCAAACTTCATGGCTCTCTCCAAGCACTGAGAAAGAAATGACAGGAGAAATATCAGAATTTTCTTTATTTATTTTCCTCATTATACCTTTCATCAAGACTGCTGCTTGGGTCAGGAAACAATCTGTTGTGGCCCAGGACCCAGGTGTTTTTTGGGGGTTTGTTTTTTTTTTTTTTAAGACACCATTTTCCTCTTCTCAATTAATGGGACTTGCTAGCATACATCATCACTTCAAATGGCAGCAACTTTGTTCAAGTGCCCACATAAATTATATCAATGTCTCAAAAGTTCTGTGTGCACTTCATGCCTGTGCTGCCACAGGTCTGCAGCTTTTTCTACTAATTGCCAACTGGTGTGTTTCATTTTCATGTTCCCCATCAAGTTACTGCAAAGAGGGGCTTTGCCAGCACGTTTCAAGGGGCAGCTGAGGCAGAGTGCGGAGGAGGTACCTCAGACAGCATCACATACTGCCCTCTTCTGCCCAGTGTGATGCTGAGGAGGTCATAGACTGCAGAGGCATCCTGGAGGCTGACAGCTCGGTCATCCTGCTGGTCTGGGGCTCGGCTGATCACTGCATCCCGGTTTGCCTAGGCACAGACACAAATGAAGCATCAGACTCCAAAAGAGCAAAAGAGAACTGACTCCTCCATAGCAAGCTACACCCATCACTCATAACATTTTGTTTAATATCATCTCAAGATTTATTTTTTTTTTAAATTTATCCCAACATAAGGAAGGTGCTTCCACAGAGGTACTTTATATCCACATGAAGCAAACTCAAGAAGATAGCTGTACGTACAGAAAGGAACTGCAAGGAATACCTCATCTGGATTTGTGTCACAGAATTAGAGCATTATGAAACAGACCTACCAGATCCCATTTCCTCAATAATTAGAAATTCAAGGCCATCCTTAAAACATCTTCCTTATTTCCTCAATAATTAGAAATTCAAGGCCATCCTTAAACCATCTTCCTTATTACTTCAATTGCCTGCAACTGCAATAACAGCTTCCATGGTTGATAGTTTATCTTCTGTGTCCACACTTGATTTCTTCACAATTGCATGTGTTTTTGTTATTCTTTTCTGCTACTCACTTTTGATTTTTTAATTTGAGCAGGTTGCCTTAGTAATCAGATTTGTCTGTCATCAATTTAAAGCAATTAGTAGTTCGGGCAATGCAATACCAAATTTATTTTTTTTAATATATGTGTTAATTTTGCTAACCTATCAGTGATTACTTGGCCTAGATCAGGAAGAAACACTACTTTTGACAGAAAATAATCAGTTTAGGTATTTGTGAGGATGTCCCAAAATACCACGTGCCACAGACTCAGATTCACCTCAAGATCCCAGCCCTTTGTGCTTTTCAGAACACAAAGGGAAAGATTACAATCCCAGAGTAAACTGAAATGCCCCTCTAATTTCCAAATGCAGAGGACCTCACCCAGACTACCCAGCCTCTGAGAGAGGGAGTGCTAGATGCCACCGAGCCCTAGCACCTACGGATAGCACAGACACACTGCCCTGGGCTCCTCAGCTGAAAGGGGTGCAACATCAGACACTCAGGTCTAGACATCTAAAAGATCAGAAAAATTAAGAAAATTGCCAGCAGTTTCACCTCAGACAAACAAAATGTTCCCTCCCTGAAACAGAAAGGTTATGAGATTTATTTTATAATATTTACTACTATAATCTTATATCTATTTCTTTCTAATTGTAGGGAGATTTTTTTTTTCCTAAAAAGGTTAAACATGGGAATTCAGTGTAATAAAAATTTCCAGAATATGCAGCCCTTAAAGCCCACGCATACTTCATTATGATTAAGCTGCAGCTGTTTCATCATGATTTTATCTGTGTAATGCCCCAGTTCCAAGCACTCTTCATCACAGCCTCTAGCCGAGACTGCAAACACAATTACTGACAACTAACACAATCACAACCAGAGCTAAATGGTGACTGCAGTTAAAGGCAAGCTGACAAATTAGACTGTCTAATATTTGCACAAATAAACTTACACCAACTCCTGCAGCCACAAAAGTATTTTTCTTTTTCATGCTACTGCAAAAGACATAATTTGCGATTAAAAAAATAGTTCAGAACAACAGGTTGCATGAGAGGGTGAAACCAACTTCAAAGAGATAATCCTGCTGTCACATTACAGGAGCGCAGCTTGTCTACCTTTACTAGCAGAAATAAATAAGAATTAAAAACAAATAAATGTTTAAGCTCTGCTTAGATTTAACACAAGACTGCTACTTTAAAAGGAAAAATGGAGTTAAAGTAAAGGCATATACCAAAGGATCCTCATTGCCAAGTGAATCCTCCTACGTAGATACAATAGCACTAACAATTTTTTCTGCACTGGTTACATTTTTCTGACAATTGTTTGTAGAAAACAGCTACTGAGATAGCACCCCCAAGCTCTGTAATCTCATCATCAACCTCCCATTAGAGTCAGCTATAGCCTGATGCCTTTTTGGGTATCCATCTAGTACCGAGCTATGATTTTCAAGTGGATACATTAGCACAGACAGAAAATTGACCAGAACCGATGACTGCACATTAAGTTCTGCCACAGATACTGGTACTAAAGGGAAGAACGCATCTCAATCCTGCAAAAGCAGGAATACAGGACATATTACAAGGATGCAACATTCTAAAATTGCAATCATACTGAACATAGTGTACATATCGTACTTCACCCAAGCAGCTAGCAGTTAAAAACAACATATGCATAGGCATGATGAATATTCTTTCCATGAAGGTCATAAACTTGATGATTTTGTTCAAGCTTTCAAATCTCAAAGCCATAGGTCATCTCTGCAAACTATCACTCTCTATGCTTGCATGCATAAAAGTTGCCACTGGCAAATTCATCGTTACTTCTATCCCAACAATTTTTTTAATGCTGACTCTATTTACAATTGCTAATTCCAGCTGCTCTAAAAAAAAAAAAATAATCAAGAAGAGCCCACACTATCACAGAGACATAAAAAAAAAAAAACAAACCAAAAGGTGAAAACCTCCTAAGAAACTAACTGAATGGTAGCAAGAATATGGAGTGTGTCTAACACAATAATGTAAATACCAACCCAAGACTCAAGGTATAATTTACTACTGCAGTGTTACATACAGTAGGGCACAGAAGGGAATATGAATCACTGTGTCCTGAAACCCACTCAGGGAAACTGGCATGTTTCTGTGGCTTGCCTCTCACAGAAGGAAGTATGCTGCGACCTAGATAACTATTAGAAGGGAGATTTTTTTGTCTTTACCTATGTTTATATTTTTGTAAGTGTTAGTTTTATCAGTGAGAAATCCTGACAGTTGCTGGTGCAGAGGATTTGTAGAGTTACTGCAACACAGCATACACCAGTTCTGTTGGATGGGGAATTCTACTTAGTGAAATGTATAGAGATACTTCCTTTTGCATTCAGTACCTGTGTTTCTGTTGTTTCAGACACTAATTTTCCTGAACACAAATGGAAAAAAGGTTATTTGTAGAACACTGGTCTCAAGCGGTGTATCAATAACATAAGCAGCAATTTCAATTTGTCCTACCACATTACTTCCTCCTCCACTATAAGCAGCAGTAAAACACAGCTACAAATACATTTTTAACACCCCCAGCATGACTATTCCATTTAAGCTGTTCCCATTGTCACACAGACATGCCTCACAGCACAAAAGCAGGATGGAGAGAGATGATGAGTCACACCATCAAAAGAACCTCTTTTCAAGACTCTTTTGAGGGATAGAGAAGGTCACTAATGCTACCAACATAAGTTTCACCCTTGGGAGTCAGTGTTACTTGCACTACACAGAGCAAAAATATACAGTCAATGCCCCTTTATTTGAGATACTCCTAGGTAATCAAGCAACCCAGAGACACATCGCATTTGTGTATTTTGGGATGCATTAGGCACAATTAGCTGTGCACATAGTGGGTCAGACATTACACCAGTCCTATCTGGGGAGATTGGACACATTTCATAGTCAGCCCTGACACAGGACAGCGAGCATCTTCAGCCCTCCCTTTCCACAGGCCAGTGACACAACCCATCTGCAGACCACACCCCCCCAAAAGGTTCCAGCCCAGGCTGATACCCCTGAGCTAAGCAGCATTCAGCCACAGTGTCTGCACCGTGCCAGATGCCCAGCTCAGGTGTTCAACCTGACAGGGCACAGAATCAGCTGAGGTTGGCAGAGCTTTTCAGATCTGGCTCCAAACTGCAGCAATATCACCATATGGGACTTTCAGACCTATGCTGGCTCTGAAAGCAGGTAAGAGATCTGCCTTTCTGGGCATCTGCAATGCAACTAACAACCCGGCAGAGCTACAGAAAGCTTATATCTTCCTATCCACATAGACAATATATTTACCTGCAAACTAGATAAGCCACCTATCCACAGAGGATTTGCAGTATATCAACGACCCTTATTTATGGCATGTTTATTTCACAAAGAAAGGAAAAGAGCCACAGCAAATCCAAACAGCCATTACTTCAGCAGTTATTACGCACGCAGTTACGCTGCAGAAAATTAAATTTTACCACAGTACAAAGATGTGCTTCTTAATAAAATGTCAAGCAATCATACGAATTACAATAGAGCATATTCCATGTAGCAGCCCCTTCTCACAGCAATTAGCTATGAAGTATCCTTTAATTGCTCACTTTGAAACATGGCTCCCCCTGCTTTCTTCCAAAGAAGAAAACGAAAGCAATTAAAATCTTTAACGAGTGCCTGCTGCCTGCCCCCTAATTCATGGGCATTCGAATGTTTAACTTGTGTCTTTCCATAATAGACATAATTGCCAGATTCACTGCAACCCATCTATACAGAACGGCAGCATGTTTTACACAGTGTACTGTAATAATGTAATTGGTGTGATTCAATACTAGCATTAAGAGAGAAAAACAAATGCTGTGCATGTAAGACTGACAACAGGCCTTTGAAATCATGCAATTGATGTCTTTACTGCTAAGAGCTGAAAAATATTTAGCCCATATCCTTTGGGTCTCCGTTCTGGCTGTTCTGTCTGTACTGCCAACAAAATGAATTAATTCCTCACAGTGGCAAGAACCTATGCAATGGAAGAAGCTACAGACTTCTTGCTTTGGTTATTGATCATCTCTACACAGCACCTGAAGGCTTCCTTCACCAATATACGCAAAGAAAATATTCAGGGTTGACTGCAAAGCTGCTGTGAAAATGGGAAGTCGATTGAACAGGGAGGACACAACATGCCCCAGGAACTCAACAAAAGTCCTCTCACAGAGATACTACAACTTGTTCCACTTCAGACAGAGGCACAGTGAATGAAAACATAGCCCTTGTGAACTATATGGCATCTGTCTCATTTCTGGTAAGCAAGAGACCACAATTTACTGGTGCCCAATTCAGATGTCTCAGTAAAATAGCCTATTATTATTGCTTAACCAATATGACCATATAGATATATCTTTTATATTTCAGGTGTATTTTAATGCCTTGTACTGTAACAGAACTAATTCTGGAAACATCACTGAAGGCAAGACAGACATACCCACCCATCCAGAACCACCCAACAACCCTACACACAAGGAAGAGAGAGAGAAAGTAAGGAAGTTTGTTTATGGATACTGTTTTGTAGTAATCTGGATTTAGAGAGCTATCTTCCAAGAATTTACATCCTCCTTGCAAGTTTGGAAACAAGACTTCCTACTGCAAAGCAGAAGAAAAAACGCTCTCTACTCTGTCTCAAGTAACTCACATTAGAACTATTTATTCAAGAAGCAATTAACAGAGGTAGTGTATTTCCCACCAGAAACATCCTGCAATCCATCTCTGCTGGTCCCAAACACTTAGCTTTGCCTTGCAAACCAGTTAAAGAGACAGTCAGATTTGCTATTGTAAGTGCACAACTGTGATTTGGCAGGAACCAACAGAGAGGGCAATCCCATCCCCAGTTGTCTCTTTCAGCTGCCATAATCTGACAGCCCTCAAGAAAATACTCCTGATGGTCATCTAGCTGTTGTATCATCACTGGGCTTGGCACCACTCAAAAATAACAAACAAACAAACAAACAACAAAGAAACTCCACAACCTATAAAAGCTAAAAGAGATTATTCTCCTTTGCAAAGATTATTCTCCTGTAGAACTAGGAAATGTAGAGCTAACAGGTTTTAATTATTTCTGTGCTTAAAAATATATGAGTTTAATCTTATTCTGTTAAAGGCATGCTCACAGCCATGAGTCTGTTCTCACCAGTAAAAAGAACAGGACAAGTCCCAGTATCTTACTTCCCCCTCACCATCTGTTCCATGCTCTCAGGCTCTCCAAGGTCAAATCGCCTTTAGGGATTCAAATCAGAGATAAGATGGGGATGACATTTCTAATCTTTGTTACACAGGCACAGAATTTATTAGTTTTGGATACAAGGAGCTTCATTTCCAGTATGAGTGAATACAGAGCCAAAAAAATTAATCCATGTTACCTGGTATGTTTGGTGGATAGCATCAGCCAAAATCCCCTGTTGTAAGAGACAGCACTGAATAAAGGGATTTCAGACGGTACGCCGGACCTCAAATTTGAGAGGGGAAGGTTTCTATGTAAACAAAGAACTTTTTCTTTTTTTTTTTTCTTTTTTTTTTTGTGAGTTTTTTTTGGGGGGGGGGTTTAACCTCAAAAGTAAACACAAAAAGTAATAGAAAGTGTTCCATTCCTGGCTCTGAGAAACTTCTGGTTAACTTTAAGGGCAGTGCAGTCAATTCTGAATACTCTTGAGAACAGCTATTAAAATAAACAAAGCTGCAGCTAGGGGTTAGTCATGCCAAACCTCCTCTGTCTACCCCCTGCAGTTCAAAGCACCAGAGTCCCTGATGGCGGAACCAGTACCATTCCCACTGGTAGTGTAATGCAGAGAAATCACACTGCAGCAGGTCGTGATATGACCTCAGTTCTCCTCACAAACACAGTTATCACTGTTTTAGCTGGGTTAAATGCAGTAAGAAAGAGGACTAATGGTTTAAAAATAGGTCAGTCCATTTTTTTCTAGTATGTGATATGAATGCATCATTCTACTGCAGCCTGAGTTTGTAAAGGCTGTCACCAGCTGGCCTTCTCGGTCTGAGGGAGAGCATTTTCATCCTCTCACAAACATAGCCCATCCATACCATAACTTAGGCCATACAAAATGAATGATATGGTAGCAAGGAGGCCACAAACCCCCCTAAAAGACCACCCTAACTGTGGCAATCTTCAGGCTGCCTGATTTGTTTCACTAAATTCCTTCATGAGAACTCTGCAGTCGAAGACTGTGACTAAATAACAGCTGGCACAGAGGAGGAACATTTGCCAAGCTCAACAACCAGGATGATATTCATTGTTTACTGAGACGCCTTGGTTTACGAAAAAGGCTCCCATTTTTAACAGGACACAAAGAATACAGGAGGCAACTCAGTAGAGTGCCAGGACAAAACAGGCTACAAGCTTTCACTGTAAGTGTTATTATACCCACAGAAGCATCTTCAAAGCTATGACAGAAGTTACCATGTTATTTTGTCATCTGAAAACCTTCCACATACTTAGGCTCAGAGGCAGAGTGACTGAAATACTGAAGGAACCCTTAACTGCCCCTTTAGAATATATTCTCATTTCATCCTACTAGCACATGCAGCATGGCTCCCTTGCAATGCCAGGGGAAGCGATAAGAAGAAATCACGAGCCAGAACCCTGCACCACTAAGAGACAGAGAAGGCTTGCTGAGAAATAGGGTCTGTCTCACAATAGCCTCAAGGCAATTTCCCCCTTTCCTCGTTACAGGAACAGTCCTACCTCCCCATAACAACCTCCGGAGAGTCACACAGATCCTGGTAAAGTAGATGTCAGCTTCACCTTAGGAAGGCAAGTCAACCAGAAAAATAGAGTGAATTTCAGCAGCAAAGGTGTCCAAGGTATATACTACTTGAAAGAGCTACCATGTTTCCTTCTCATTAAATTTATGACATATTTGCTTTGAGGTTCTCTGATGATTTATGCTCCTCCCCAGTACAACTTTGCTCTGTGTCCCCTCCACAGGCTGGCAATTCTTCTGTCCATCTCTCCCTTAATTTTTCCCCCCCTCAAAGTCATTTTGGAGTGGCAGAAGTCACAAACAGGCATGAGAAGCAGCTGTTTGGCTTTATGGTCCTGTAAAAGAGTTATTACAGCATGGCTGCTCTTTGTCTCTTTAAAAATCAGACAGGCAAAGTACCTTTCTGGTGAGTTTTGCTCTGACAGAACACAGTGTCAGAGAGGCTGGAGAGCTCCCAGCAAGCCATCTTAATTGCATACTTCTGTTTCATTTTAAGGGGCTCATAATTGTAAATACTGAGAGAATGCCTAATCCAGCCAAAATCCATGAACACCAACTATGTTGCTTACTGGCCTACAGAAACATATCATTATCACTTGCCACTGACACTCTTTCCAGGAATGAAAGTATATTTTATTCAGTTGTTAACATTATATTATTAGGGAGAGGCCTCAACTGGAAATCTGCTTCTTTATTAACTCATTCCACGAGCTCCACTAAGTTGTTCGTTTTTGTCGAAAAAACCACCAAACCAAAAAACCAAAAAAGAAAATTTCAAACAAAGAACATATTTGTACATGAGAGAACTCACTAGCCTACAGCAATGCTGTTATGGAAAACATGTCATGTCATAAATTAAACAAAATTTTCCCTTCTTCATATCATAACAGTAAAACTACAGGAAAATATTTATGGATTGCAAACTTACGTAAGAATCAGATTGCTCCCTCTGTTTTTCACTTAGGAAGCACATTCCTGTGGTTCCTAAGTGTATTTCTATACATTGGCCTGAATTTTATTTAGAACAATAAACTCATGGCAAGGCTATTGCTAATGCAAGAGGAAGACTCTAATGTTCCATTTCCCCAAAATCAGAAAGACAGTTACATGGTTCCTGCAGTGCTCTACTACAGGATCTTCGATTATTTAAGTGTTTCATATGCAGCAGATCAAAATGCCTTGCATCTACCTCCAGAGAGTTCCTATATATTGGAGACTAAGCATACACAAGCTTATTCAACCTCTAAGTCAGCACAGCAGGCTAGTTTCTATCAATAGCATTTTTTCACTGCTTTATCCATAACTTAGATAAAGGACCAGTTAGTTCACCATTTTACACACCAGTGGATAAAACAGGGATAACTTTAATTCTCCTCAGCAGAAGAAGATTGTAGAGTCCAAGGTCCTACAAGGCCTTTCTGACTGCAAGTCCAGTCCCAGAAAAGGTTGGAGCAGCCAGTACTGTTGATGCTCCAGACCCTCATCCTTCTGCTTGGATCAACGCTGACAAGCCACACTGACACAAGTCCTTTTGATTTTAATAGAAGTGCCTATGACACTCTACAAGCCCTCACTCCACTTGCAATTATGAAAAGCCCTTCTAACTGAAGAAAAGTCCTTGAAAACACAAAGCAGATGTACTGTAGAGGATTAATCTAGAAGGCACTAAAAAGCACATAGTCATACTCAGATGTACATGATACATGAAGTCAACTTAATATTTTGGAGTAGTTCTGCTTCTTCAATTTCTCCCCAAATTTAAAAAACAAACAATATTAAATTGCCATGTCCTGAAGAAGTTGCAGGAATGGGGAAGGACTTGAGCCAGAAGAACCAGACAAAGAAAAACTGAAGGAAGCAAAACCCAGGAAGTTTCCACAGCACTCTTCAACTTGTCTGAAAAGTTGTTTAAAAGCTTTTAAGAGGGTCACTGATGCTCCAAGGTTTTGAAATCTCACTTTGAATTACAAGTGACCACACTGTATTTAAAGCAAAATACACATTCCTCACACATTTTCAGAAAACATTCCTTACACATTTTCTATGTTTGTGTCTTCTCAGAACATGAAAATTATCAAAGGTTACCATGCAGTTTTCCAAGCAGTTTGCCTGCTTTTAAATGGATTTTTTAAAGCCACCAATGTTATAAATAGAAGAAATCTAATTATTTCAGTATAGTTTATCATGAATGTTTCTGCATGTGACAAAATTCCCTGTATCACCAGCATCAGAAACTGGTAAAGATCACTCAGGACTGAAACAGCTAAGGACTGCAGGCTAAGGCATGTAAGCACAGCACTGTATCCTGCAATGCCAGACAGTGGGTACCACCGTCATTCCTGGCTTTAGGCAAGCCTCCCTTCCTCTCATTCTTGGTCCATAAATCCACACAGATGTTTTGAATGGAAACATCTGTCTACTGACAATGTATCTGGACGTCAGAACCTGCATGTAGCGATGATGAATGCAGTCACTTCCTCTTCTAGACAATTCCCAAAATCCTTCTCTCATGTTCCACTTAATAAAAATGGTGCCACTAATACAAGAATAGATAGCATTTTCCATTCAGCATCCAAACCTTTGCTTCTGTTTATCCAGGGAAGACTGTAAACAAAACCAACCAGAAGACTTGACATGGAAATGCCAGATATTACTTTCCACTATAATATCACAAGCTCATTTTTGGCTTACCATGGATTCACTGATTAAGAGGAGAAGAAGAGCCTCTTCTACGTTGTCTTGAGGGCAGTACACACTGAAAGACAGAACACACTTTTCTGAGGAAGGTCAAGAGTTATCCTGTCAGCCTCTTTCTCATTTCACAGGAGAAGCGGTAACTTGAAACATCTCATGTATAATTCGTTTGCCAGGCAATACTTTCTTTTGCAGGTTTACACAATTAAAATATGTCTTAGATGAGCTATACTGAACCATAAATGGATTATTCTAATTTCATAGCAAAGACAGCTATTTGATTGGATTTTCTTCTTCCTGGGAAAAAAAAATCCAACACTCAAAGTTTAAGTTTTATTTTTCCAGCAGACTTTTCGATGGGAAGTTAAAAAACAAGAAGATACAAAACTACTACATGAATCAGTGACATAATTAGCAGTACCAACGAGTGTTCAAACACCCTCCTCCCGACAATAAACTGAAATAAAAATGAGCGCTTACTTCTCTTCTGTGTACAGCTCAGGCCTCCGACAAAGAAGATTGCTAACATAAGACTGATATTCCTTGTTCATGAACTCAGGAAGCGGATCAGATAAAGGGCTCCAGTAACAGTCTTCACTGAGGGAATGGAGAAGTACTTGGGCTAGCTGTTTAGCTGCAGTCTAGAGATCAGTGAACAGCACAGAAAAAGACATATATCAGAGAAGCCTTCTCCAATACAAAAGATTCACCTCTCCCCATGTTCCACCTTAGGTAGGAGATGTACTAGCATGACAGTACCACTTTTCAGAAGACCAGAGAAGCTAAATCAGCTGCTAAAGTCTACAGAAGTGGCAGTTTCTTCCCTCCTCTGAAAAGGCTAGACTTCTGCATTTACATGGTCTAGTTGCAATGCTGTGGGGAAAATGTATCAAGAAAGCCTGAGAGCAAGGGATGCTTTGGTGAACAATCTGCTGCCACATGGACTGCTGAGACAATCTCACTAAAGTCACTATATTAGAGTATGATGACACTACACTGCACTCTCAGGCTCAGAATTTTGTATGCAAGTCTCAGACCAGAGGTTACTTTTATGTTAGGTTTAAAAGATCAACCTTTTATCTCTTAATACTGCTCTTCCTGTAGCCTTTCATAGGTTCACCTCAATCCTGCTTCTCTCTTTCTGTTGCAGCAATGGAGGGAGGAACTCTATACTGACACAGTGACATCACATGCACTTTTTTGACCATAAGTGGCCAAGGATCTTTAAATACTTGCTTTCCAGTTCATACACATACCTGGAAAACTGGGCCCAAAAGGGGGCAAATTTTGCAAAGTCACGTTAAAGCTATCTTTGGCATTTGTCCTTGTCTGCCACCCAACAAATGTCTGATTTTTTGCATTATAAATACATGAGCATGCAAACAAGCTGAGACATCAAAATTTATGGTATCTTCTGTGAATTCTAAGCAGAATACCCACTGTAAGCTGTAAAGTAAATACTGTACAAAACAGAGGCAGGCTGAAACTTCAGCCTCTCTGTCCTAATACTTGTAAATAGTATTTTGCAACTTCTCTGACTATCGCATATGTATTTTATATGCGATTTACACTTTGATATGTGTTAAAAGGCCACCAAGAGTCATTTTCTTTCAAATACCAGGACAGGTATGTTAGAAATCTACATCAGTAGGATCAAATAAATCACACTGAGGTTAAAGTTCCTGTTATCGGTTTCAGAAAAATAACTTCTCTTGATGCAAAGCTCTTGATTTTCATTCACCTCACCCACCACACATGAATTCACTTGCATTAATCTAAAATGCAACCACACTAGTGTGCCCAGTTTCTTAACAGCATAAAGGGAGGTTTCACACATGTACCCAGCAAATGGCAGTGATGTGAATGTACGATCGTGTCTCAAAGAAATATTGTCACGTACAACTCCCTGGAAACCCCAAGACTTTCCATGCACTTCTACTGACAAGTTACAGAAAGCCGTCTGTTTCTAACTAAGATTTTCTATGTTTTTTATAGCACATAACTATGAGCAAAATGGCCTAGGGCCCTGCAACATTAGCCAGTATCATTTTATCATCTCAATGTGTAATTATTCAGCCAGTTTTACCCTGAGGAGTCAACTCTCCTATATTTTTTTCCTACAGTCTTAGGGGGGAAGGAAAATAATATGCCAGCAATAGAAAGATCTCTGCTGGTTCACACAGAAGTAGGAGTACAGTTTGTGGTAAGCCTTTCAAAAGGCAAGCACCAAATACTTCTAGCGTCTTTGATTTTAACATACAATACAGTAGCTGTGTAAATTAGCTTCACTCTTGTTTTGAATAAGACCAAACAAACCAGAACAGGCCAAGACTCTGATTTATGTTATTACTGCCTTTGGCTAAAAAAAGCATCATTATGCTTGAAGAACACTGTGATCCCACAAATTAGGGAAAAAAATAAATCGTGTGTTTTACTTTCATGCTTGAAAAACTTGTTTAATTAAGAACGTTCCTCCCTTTGCCCTCTTGACAGCTCTTTAAAAAGAAATAAGAAAATGAAAATGTAACTTGCAGTAAAATAGAAATCCCAGGAAAAATTATTGAATGAACACCCTCAGAGTTTCCCTTAGGGAAAAATCCCCACGGGTATTGTACAGCTCTCCCCGGTCGCACAGGGACAGGAGCAACTGAGCCACATTCTGTCATGATATAGGAGCAGATTAGACTCATTTCAGCAAAATGACAAAACAGGCAAGCATGAAAATACCCCTGAGCCCTGATCTCAGTTTGGAAAAGGACGCAACCATCTGAGTGGACTATTATTGAAGTCACCTCTTCTAATTCCCTGCACAAGCTTCCACATGCATCTGTATTCTCCAGAATGCTATGCAAACCCATGCCCCCCTCCCTTGCCAAACTTCTCTTGAAATTACATAAAACACAATGCTGAACCAAGCAGAAGTTAGTTGTAAGAATATCAGTGCTTTTAGGGCTGCAGAGCTCTTATTCACATTCTCAGTAAGACTGTTATTCTCTATGCTGTTGACCTTGTCACCTCCTGAGTAACTTCAGGACAAGATGTCTTAAAGGAGAGACAGGGAAGAAGCCGTTACAGGTTTAATAAGTTAAACAGGCACATAAATAACTCTCTCCATGATTTGTTTACCAGAGGCATTCAGAATAAAAGGATGCATGCAGAATGCCAACACCAAAAACAAATTAAAACTATTAAAATCACTCTGTACTATATTGAAGAGGGTTTTACAGAAAGACTTCAGTCTAACAAAGCCTCGCTTGCTGCAAAAGCCAGAAGTACTTAATGCTTCCACATGCAAATCCAGAAAGGTGTGCATGCACACACTGAAACTGAGAAAGAAAACAAGACAACATCACCTGAGGACAGCACTGTCAAACTAAATACATCTCTATTTCTCTGGGGATCACTTAACACATCACTTCCAAAAGTAAAAAAAAAAAAAAAAAAAAAAGTGAGAGAGAAAAAAAGGCAGCAATCAATCGAGGGCAAACATTTTTTTGCAACTGCAACGGTCAGTAGAGAGAATTCCTGCATACCAGACAGCCCCACCTTCCCATCTCCCATCCCCTTACCATTTTGAAGGTCTGAGTAGCTTTTGTTTCCACAGTCCGTAGTATTTCTCGCAGACTCCTCATTCCTTTCACAATATTTCTATGGGGAAAGACAGAAAAAAACCCTCAAAACATGAAAAACCCCCAAAACCAGCACATTGGAGACAAAATGTTTTTATGATGTGCCAACGCTTGGCAATAAACTCGATGTTCAAACAACCCTTGAAACAATCACTAATACTGAGTGTGCAGTAGCGAGACAAGTCACTCTGAGGCACAGACAGGACAATGGCACAGAGCAAGGCAGCGACTGTAGCATGCCTACTCCAGATGGCTTTCTAAGAGAAGATCACATTCACATTTGATGAACAGAGGGGACATTTGGAAGCCTTTCATAGCTTATATTTATAAAGCAGATGCTGCTCCTTAAAAGCATCCACATCTCCTCTTCACACACACAGATTGTACTCGTTTGAATTATATTGAGCTTACGTGATGCTTTTAAATGACGATTCCTTTTAGGGGGTGCTTAAACGCCTTATGTCTGATGGTCCAGCCATATGACGAAATTACAGTGGTTTAAACAGTTTATTATAAGGCAGCTAAGTTGCAGTAACTGTCTGCAAGCTTAACCTGCAATAAGAGGGTTAGGCTAAAAAAAAAAAACAAAACTAAAAAACCCCCAGAACACGTTACTCTGCATACACCATGAGCAATTAAAGCTGACTAGTTGCCAAATGGTATCTTAATCATGTATCGGTGCACTCAGGAAGATGCAAGGAGGAAAGATTAAACACTGTACATGCTAGTTAACACACTGTCAGGCTATAAGCTGTTCAAGGCTAAGGACATGGCCCTACCACCATGGTAACTGCAAAATGGTTCAATGCACATTCATTGCAGGGTGGAAGCTACCCAAAGAAATAGAAACTATCAGAAAAGGAGCAATGTTGGACAAGAAAACAAAATAAGCAGTTGTACTGGTACATTAACTGCCACTTCAGCTTATCCAGGAGAATTTTCTGTGCAGAAGAAAGCTAAATTTCATTTTAAAAAAGCCATAACAATCTTTTCTGTCAAACTGATTAAATTTTGAAGGTAAACAGTACAGACTGCATTTGTGCGTACTTTCATATACTGCAAACCTTTCTGCACTCCAGAATCAGTGGCAAACATTTGATGAAAATAAAAGGTGATTATTTTGGGGGGCAGGGGGATTAAAAAATGATCATGTTTACCGTGAATTTTGGATACACAAAATTCCACCCTAAAGCTTGTGGTCATCAAGTCACAGAATCCAAATACATGTGGCCTTACTTCAATACTCATCTCAATTTTAAACCGTGAGGTAGTCTGTAGATTACCTAATTGTGGGCAATGTACATACCAGTAAGAAAGTAAGGCAAGAGCAAAAACACTGGAGACTTGCCCCTATAGAGGAAGTCAGATGTCGTATTTCTTTTTTTCTGTTCACCTTCTCCTAAGTAAACCACGTACTTTGAAATTATCAAGGGGAAAAAGCTCAAGGAAGTTTTTTTTAAGTTGGACTTTAATGCTTCAGCACACTCCCCAGTTACAGGGTCAAGATACCATGTGCTTTTTAGTGGGTCTAGAATAGAATACACCCACAAAGATGCAGTTCTGGACTTTAAACCGAGGAAAGCAATAAAGCATGTGGTGTTATTTATGCACGAGTAGTGACACCAAATCCAACGGAACTATTCACATGGTATTTACTATTAGACAAAATCAATAAATTCCCTCATCTCAAAAAAATACAGCTTCCCAACTGCTCTCCTTGGTTATTGAAATCTACCAGTATTTCCCGTGCATCCACGGGCTCCTTAAGAGGCTGGACAGAAGAGTTATGGTGTATAACAGTTCTACAACATTTTCAAAAATGCATATGTTTCAAATTTCTTGTTAGCATAATGGTATTTGTCTTAATAAAGTGCATATGAATTGCATTAACTACTATGAGAAAGAAGATTAGTGACCACTTGCAAAGCCAAATAATTTCACATTTGGCACATACTAAAGAGATGAAAAACCTACAGAATGTGATAAAAAGAGACATTTTCATTCCCAGAGAACTAGAGCACCATTACAGTTCCACTTTTTAGACAAGGCCACAAACCAAGTTAAGCTTCATGGTAGAAACACCTTGCTCTGGAGAGAAGGGAAGAAGAAAAGCAAGGAATATCAACACATTGAAGTGAATGAAAGAATAAATAGCAAATTGCCAGGGTTGAAACCATGAAGCACGTGACAAATGCCTAGGAATGCTTTCAACAAAAGCTAGGAGAGCAAAATGGGGAGCACAGGAGGAGCACTCAGCACTCACCACCTCCTAGACAGATGCTTGTGTGGTCAGGTTCTATCAAAGAGCAACCACTCCACTCTCTGAGTTCCCAATTCCGAAACACGCAGAGCATCTGACAACAATACCAGTTCTACAGGACTGAGGATTTAGTGTGGCAGCTTCTATATTTTGAACTTTATCGAACATTATTGAGCCATGACAGGAGACAGAGCACATCTGCCAGCATTCTGCAACCATACCTCACTACCGGAGTTTGTCTTTACATTTAACTGTTCCAAGCCAGGAGACCATCTGAGCATACATTTCATCTTGAGCAAATGAATTGCTCTACTTATAATAAGGAACTTACTGTCCCATTAATAGATGTCCTTTATATACTAGCTGTGCACTTGAAGAGAATTTTTTTAATTAGGGCCTGAAGAGGTTAACAAAAAGTATTTATTTGAACAGAAATACATGCACATAGATGAGTGGATGAGGATTCAAACATAAAACCTCTGGCAATCCCTGGTAAATCCATCTGATCTTATGTAGTTCAGAAACTAGAAAATCTTGAGCCTCTGCAGAACCTGGATAGAGGACTACCTGGAAATCTCAGGTACTGCTGCCTCAAGCCATGGCATTAGTGAACATCAGATCATGGAAATTAAATGAGCTAGAAGAGTCCATAGGCCCCTATTGTACTGCTAAGATGCCAGAAAAAGAAATGAGGAAGAACAGGAACGGAAAAGCACATGATCATTAAACTGCTTTGGTTTAGCCACAGAAGTGGCCAGAGCACCATTTAGAAAAACCATGATGAAATGCAGTTCAGTATTCAATCACAGTTAATCTAATAAAAAAGAACACAGTCAATCATGGCCAAAACTGTGACAAAGAGCACCCTGAGAGTCCAGTCAGTCCACCCTGACATGAAAATGTTTTGTTTGTGCATGTACCCTGTTAATACAGAGTAATTAATTACCAGTTCATGAATCAAAGCAGTCATACTGCATTTATGCCATATAGTTTGGCTAACACTATACACAACATTTTAAAATACAAGGAAATAAAGAAATACACTGTTTTCTATGTAAATTTCTGGGAAAGAATATTGACAATAAACCAGAGAGCACAGAGGTCTGCAAAGACAGTCTCCCAACAACACAGACACCAGAAGATCATGTTCTTATCCCCACTGATTTACTGCTAAAACAATTAGCTACTAACACATGGAACAGACCATCTTGAGAAGATTACATGGCAGTTTGCAGAGTCACCTCTCAAAGGTAAAGCTGTACCCAAAGCATAGAAACAGCAGCAACACCATTTCCTCTGCCCACCTGCTTTTGCATCTTTGCATCTCACCCAGGTTTCTAAAAAATCATACCCTTTCCTTAAACAGCTGTTCATGCATAGACACAAAACACATCTGAAGAAGTGAGCCTCAGATTCTTATGAATACGATAAGACATAACAAGTAAGTACAACAAAGCACATTAGTTTCCTAATGGCAGCCTGTCTAACAGAGAGGGGTGCTCAAAAAAAACCCCCAGCCCAATACAAAACAAAAGCTTAGCACTTATCTAGGTCCATCCAGCAGACAATAAGACTCGCTTCCAAATTACCAGCTGCAGTGTCCTGGATAAGGTGCTAGATTGAGATGACTAAAGAGGAGATAAATGTCAAGAAAGCCCATATAAATTCTTCAGAAGAGATGAATAGTCCAGCAGAGACTGTCCTACCTGTCTTTATACACTAGATACTACTGTGAAACTACACATACATGAAGTTACTCTGAAAAGTGTCCTTGCAACAGAAGCCTACAAAATTTCCAAAAAGGATCTAAGCACTCTAGAAAACTGACAGAAGGGAAGAGAAACAACTATGTAAGCTTTCCCTATTAGGCATTTTTGCCAGGGTTTTCCAAAGTAATTAAGTCCTAATTTGAGAGATCATATGGAAACTCAAGCTCTAATAAATGCTTAATAATAATTTTTCAGAAATTCTTTTTCTTCAAAAGTGTCCCATCTAGAGCTTCCAAAACCAACCACATCCTCTAGAAAGCTCTGACTTTGTCTTGCTTGTGGAACTCCACGCGTACTTCAGCTGCAACTGTATGGCAGTATACATATCCACTACTTCACACAGGTGAAGCATGCTTAAAAATACTACAAGCATCTTGACCAAAGACCCCATAACAGTAAGAAATGGTAATACCTGCTCAATACTCTGATAAAAAAGCAGCAAGAAATTAGCCTAATCTTCACATATGTGCATCAGAAAAAAGCCCAAACAACCAAAAACCAAAACCTAGTGCAGATGCTAACATGGAAGACAACTGGTTGCCTCCTACCGTATGACATCCTATGATCCACAGTATCAACACTGCTCACTAGAAGAATAAAAGAAAGCTTTTTTTGGGTTGTAGCAAGGCAAACAACTGTAGGAAATGTGTCTTCAGCAACACAATGTTTTTAACTTAACACCTTATTAAAAGCATCTAGGACTTGTACAGCTGCAAGACTTTTTGGTCCTTACAGTTGGCAGCTCAACACCTGAAGGGCAGACCAGACCTTTCTTTCATCTTGGTGGCTTCTTTCCACTGCACACTGCAAGAGAAAAGGGCATCCCTGACCATGCTCCGAGAAGGTAATGTCTGTTCCTGCCAGCAGGAATAAAGGCATAACACCACCACTTATATCCCTCAGTTCTTCTACCTGCTGAAATAAGAATAAAGCACTCACTATTCCTTTTGTACACACGTGCCACTGGGGAAGGACATCCCACCTGATAGGACCTATCACCCCCCAACAGCTTGAGCAGTCATCATCCAAGGCTTATTTCCTACCAGAACATGTTGGAAGCAATAAGGAGGACAAAAGCATTTCTTTGAGCTATTCAATATCAGTTAGAGAAATTTATTATACTCATGAAGCATCCTAAAAAGCTTCTTCCTACTTCTATCCTCTTTTCTTAATATATCCCAGTGCTGCTTATGCCCTCTCGTGGCAGAAACCACACATTAGTATCAGCTGCGGTGGCAAAGACAAGCTGTGGTGTCCCACTAGGCTTTTTATTCCACCGAACCTTCCATCCCTGGCTGGTGCTTCTCACTTGCACTGCAGGAGGTGATGAACACGTGGGATTCCATTCCCATCTCAGCCACAGAAGCTCCATTGCACTGACTGGGATGCTTTTTCATCAGGAGACAGCTACAGAGAACATTTTGCTGCTATTGCAGCAATTCAACTTATAACCAAAGCCCTGCATACTTCACATCTGTATTTTGCTTCAAATTGTTTTCCTGTAGAGTTTTTTGTGGGTTGTTTTTGTTCAGGGTTTTTCTGAGGGGGAATTTGTTGGGTTTTTTTAAGGCTATCATTAAAATAACATGGGAACGGAGCAAGCGGGGCCCACAGTAGTAGCTAAAACATCCCACTAGATATATTGAACTCATCACTGATGAAGACTGAATTTAAAATGTGCTGATTAAAATGAACATGAGTGAGTTTGATATTCAAAAGGTGCCTAGAGGACATCAGTGCCGTATGTTCTAAAAGAGATTTTATTTTATTACATAGTTAATGAGCTTAATGGCAAGACCTGAGCTTTTTGTTTGCCATGAGAACAAAAAAAGGTTAGGAAAGCACGTGCTGTGCCACAGCTGGTCAACTCTCAGCTCACCTGGGAAAACCACATACCTATCCCCTGCTGTCAAGCTGATACTGAGACTATGCTTTATAAGTCCATATTTTCTTTATGCGTAAACTTGTACTTGCCTGACTAAAGGGGTCACTTCACAACATAGAGCTTTGGGTTTTTGTCAGCCTCCAGGTTAAACAAGGCTTACCTGAAGGCACCTCTCATGGATAGCTTAAGGGTACAGCTTCACTGTATGTGCAGGCTTTTAATGAAAGAATGAGAAACAGTGGTTATTCACAGTTGTATTTAAAGTAATTCCTGGGGGATAAAAAAGTAGCAAAAAATCCCTAAACAAGAAGCAACCCTCCTCCAACAGAATCAAAAAATGGTACCAATTTTCTACAGAAGAATTTAAATTGATTTTTGCTGGGATTTTTTTTTCCTAGTTCTCAATCTTTCAATCTTTTCTCATTTTTTGCTTTCTTCTCCATTTTACTCAGCAGGTAAAAAAAGTCAAAATTAAATACTTGCAAAGATAGTTTGCTGTAAGAAATTCAGTATCTGATTCCTTAAGAATAAATGGGATATTATGGTGCAAGAACAGGACTAGGAAAGGATGGACTCTCACAACAACACATGTTGAAGAGACACTCTCCCGCATGGCAATTTCTCCATCAGATAACCAGAGCTGATTATGTTTTGAATGCATGGCCTGGTTTAGGGAACAGCGTACCCTCACTGATGGCCTTTGGAAGTGGGAATTTACTATGTCTTTTCTGCTCTTCTTGAGAAGGTTTTCCACAGGTGAAATTCATTTGTAGGCTTGCAGATACCAACTCCTCTCACCCTTCTGAAGTTCACTGGAAGCTGTATTTCAGAGGCATAATAAATACCACAGAGCAACACTGTTCCTGCATGTATTCTCCATAGTAAAACCACACAGATTTGGGGTATTGATTGGGTCATTTAAGAACTTAAACAAACACACAAATAAATGAAAGAAACTACCTGTAAGACTTCACTGAACTCTAAATCAGACCCTGTGGTTGCACATTTTAAGAGCACACAGCCGTGTAAATTCCACTCTCTCTTTACGGTCTAATTCCCCTCATCTCCACAGGGAGCAGAGCTGAGGCAAGACAAGAAAATTGTTCTACTCCACCCTACCTGTGGATCTGGAGAAAAGAGGCTTAGGACTCTTGAGGGAGGAGAACAGGGAAGGATGCTGAGGGAGCTTCAGGTGAGTCAGCAGCAAAAAAGTCATAACAGAACATACAAGAAAAAAATAAGCCTACATCTGTTCTGAGACAAAACGTGCAATATTATCTATTTTTATTAACATCTGCATCCACCTACCCCTTCTTTAAATGAGTCACGTAGGCACTCTGTAGAGCTGCTTCCAGAAAGTAGGAAAGTTCAAACTCGGAGTAAGTCATGTTGCTGCCCTTCATACTCCTTGAATGTGTGTTGTTTAAGGTCTGTGAGGGGAGGAAAGAAACATCTGGGATTACAGACAACTGTTTGAACTAGTCAGGTCCTCATGAGCCAGTGACATCTACAACAATAAAACATTAGCTTCTGCCATCAGATTCTTTTCAGATTACTTGAAAACTTTCCTCCATTAAATATTCAAAAACGTTTCCAAGTCAATTTTAAAATAAACTACACAATGACTTTCATGAAATATTCAGAATGCGATAAGAGTTTTGAAACACTATCACTTATTATTTTCCAACCTTTAATAAAGTAAGTACAAAGCCACACATTAACACCAACAGCTTCAGAAGTACTACTCAAACTAGAGAGATCCAGCATCTTGCCCAGAAATATTAACGCAATGTTTGAGTAGGTATATCTGGTTTTATGTAACATAAATATTTGTAAAGAGTTAGTAAGCCATCAGGAGCACTGATGGAAGAATCTTACCCTTTCCTGTTTCTCCTATCAAATCCTTCTTGCTTTTGCTTCCTTACTAGTAACAAGCAGCTTTCATTGCTGAAAGTTGCCCTGTGTGAACTCCCCAAAGCAGGGTTTTACATCTAGGACGGGAGAAGGACTATGAACTTTTACATCTATCAGTACTCCTGCACCCGTGTCTCCATGCCTAGAAGACAAGCACATGATTGTAGCAACATTGGGGTTGGTCTCCTCCCAGGTAACAAGTGACAGGATAAGAGGAAATGGCCTCGAGTTGTGCCAGGGGAGGATTAGACTGAATATTAGGATAAATTTCTTCATTGAAAGGGTGGCTAGACATTGGAACAGGCTTTCCAGGGAACTGGTGGAATCACCATCCCTGCATGTGTTCAAAAGGCATATGGTCATGACACCTGGACGTGGTTTGGAGGTGAACCATGGCAGTGCTAGATTAATGGCTGACCTTGATAATCTCAGAGGTCTTTTCCAGCCTTACTGATTCTATGATTCTAAGTGAATGAATTACAGTTCAAACTGTTTCACTTCTTCGCAGAACCAAGCTGTCAGTAAAAAAATTTAGCATCCAGTACTGGCAAGAACTCATCCTTCCAACAATGGAAGGACATTACTTAATTTGAAATAAAAAAGCTATTCATTTTTTTCCTGCAAAGAAACGAGACTAGACAATTTGGTAGCTGGCTTTTTAAATGAATTTTTATACATGCACTAAGCTCATTTTTTCTTGTTTCAATGCAGTTAAAAACAAAACCTGAAACAGAAACACACCTTTGCTACTGAGAAGAGCAGAAATATCTGGTCAGAAGGCCAAAGGCCTTTAAGTTAGAGAACAGATAACATGCATTGCTCTCAATACAGCTGATGTCAAGCATAACATGTGGCAAAGGAACGGCATGGAAGCACATGATATGTCCTGTAAAATCAGCTTGGCAAAGATGCAGAGTCAGAGACCTCTAAGCATGTACCCGGCAAATCAGCGGCTCATGTTACCTGCACGGCTCAGTGGAGGGTTCACAGTACTCATCTTGCTCAGCATCCCAGCCAACCACTGACTAAGCAGTTACTTGCTACTAATCATAGAATCATAGAATGGCTTGGGATGGAAGGGACCTTAAAGATCACCTATCTCCAACCCCCCTGCCACGGGCAGCAACACCTTCCACTAAATCAGGTTGATCAGAGCCCCAACCAGCCTAGCCTTGAACACTTCCAGGGATGGGGGATGCAGGTTCTAAATGATCTAGATTCCTCCTGGTTCACTTGAAGAAGGTGAAGCATCAGCAATTAAACTGCTATGGCTGACCCAAAAAGGTTTCTTTCAGCTTGTTAGGGATCTCAATATCCACTACTGTATATCATTTATACAGCAGGGAAAGGATACACATTGATGCCAGCACTTGCCATGCAAGTTTGCAGTCCCTCCTTAGTACAAGCTAAACTTGAGATACAACCTGAGCATATCTGAAGGATTTGGTGTTTTACCACAGGTAAACCAGCTAAACTGCTGTTCTGCAGCTGATTTTACCAAGACATCTCACTCCTTCCAGCTTGTTCTCATATTGTTTATGATCACTGTCTACCACATGACATTTCCCCATCATTTTTTCATTTTTGCAGTCAAACCCCTGAAAATTCCACCCAGGCCAACAGGCAACACCCTGAGCACATTTCTTCTTACCTTCTCAAGCTCCTGCAAGTACACCTGGGCAATGACACACGCTCTCTCAAAACAAGCCATGACTTCCTCCTCCCTTTCACACAGTCGAGCACGTGAGGCAATTGAGTTGGTTGAGCGCTCCAGTGACATACCTGCAAAATGTCAACACCTTCTTTAACTGAAGCCAACCAACAGCAGTATGGTCATATCATTCTTAATTTACTAGCTGACAGGAAAGTTTTTCCATATGTGGGTTTCCCTCTCGTTCTGATGACTTTCAGGACAACACCCCCAAGGAAAATACAATTCCTACACATGCAGGGCATCTTTGTCATGCTGCTCGAACACACAGTACAGCTGCACACTCCTACAGTGCCTTTCAAACACTTTATGAAGAGAGGACATACAGTCCCTCTGGTAGGAATAAGCAAAGAGAGAAACTAAGGCCTATATTTCCAAAGACAGCTATAGATTTTGGGTGCTTCTATTCAGTGAAACCCTGGCACTGAACCTGATAATTTCTAGGCATCTGCTACTTCAAGTGAAGCTTTCAATAAGGAGCAGTTTTGAGAGGGAGGGGGGAAAAAAACAACAAAAAACCAACTGGAAAATTACACCGAAACAAAGCTGGAAAATCTGAGGCCTCTCTTGGAAAATCTGAGCACACGCAAACTGCTCATGGATACGCAGCAAGCTCTTGGCAAGGCACAAAAGACTCTTAACCACAAGATCACCCTCTTTTCCAAAGAAAGGAAAAAACCCTGGGTTTTGTACTACTAAAACTCTTTCTTGTGTCATGATCCAACACCACTGACAACAAAAAGTATGTGTTCCTGACACAGATCCACAGAGGTGATAAAAGAAGAAGAGAGTTCAGCTGTCCAGACAGCCTTTCCAAGGACTCTGTTTCGACCACTACAGCACGTGGCAAAGGATTCTGCCCCACATGAGGAGCCACCACACATACCTGGAGCCACACTTGCCTGGGCTCCTGCAGTCCCGGGAGGCACAGCACCTCAGCACTGCTCATTTCAGGAGTCTTGGCAACAAACTGCTGTGAGGCAGGAACAGGCAGCCAGGTTTACAGTACAGGCACTCATACTGGAGGAGCCTGAAGTTTCTAGGCAGTCTTAGCTTTATTTACTTCTAATGTTCAACATTTGTTTTGTCCCCTTGGTTACTCTGCTAGGAGTTTCCCTATCTCATGTCTTACATTTGAGCCAGACATGAGCAGACAGTTCAGTGGGCTGGGAAGAGAAGATGCCTCACTGGTTCAAGTTCGGGAGGTGGCTCCCCACTCCTGCCTTCTCCCAAGTCAGATGCGCCCACTATGTTCCCTCAAAAACCTGTATCTTGGTGGAACACGTTAGTACCCTTCACCTCTGAAAATCTGGACCAGAGCAGAGCAGGAGGACTGGATTTACTTCAAAATGACAGTGTGTGTGAGACAGGGTTGACAATCATTTTGCTGCTTTTAACTAATGCCCATTCTGTGTTCTCTCCTTTCTTCTGACGTACACCTTGGACAGTATCCAGACATAATAGATTTCGTCCCCAGTCCATCTATGAAGTCCCTGCCTTTATATCATGGGTTGTTTTCCTATTATTTCAAGACTTCTATCTTCCAACCCTGTCGCTATGTAATGAATGAAGGGGAAAAGAGGACATTAACTCTCTCTATAGAAAAAAAACAAACCACAAGTATCCAGTGCTACAGCTAGAACAAACAGCCTACAAATATTCTTCTTAAATCTGTCTCAGTTTTATCCACCTCTGAATTTCTAGTCATTCCTCTTAACTGAAAATAAATTTTAACAAGTGTGCATTTCAGAGCCACCATCCCCTTAAGTGAGGCAAAGTGAGGCTCAGAGCCCTGAAGAAAAATCCAGCATAATCCACTGACATTCATACACATGCAGCATTTAATCAAACTGCAAGAGCCATCCTAGCACAGTCTGTATGGGGGTGTTTATCGTGGGAGATGTCACACAGAGAGAACAGATAAAAAGCCATTTACATACATGGTACAGCCCACTGCAAGGAGTTACTATCTCTAAGCTCTGACACAGGGGAGGAAAGCAAGCAGCCTTTGCCAGCATCAAGTACTGACAACAAACATGCCCATCCGTGCAGTCAGAAAAACAGAGCTGGGGCTAATCAGAGACAGGGGAACAAACATCTCTAAATGGGTTCTTGCCACAGTAAGCATACAGCAATACACCGTGTATTAAAACAGATACTATGCTACACAACCACTTGTAAAGGGCAAGAAGGAAATACGACCCACATGATGTGGCATTAGTCATGGTTCTCTCTGCTAATACCATATGCACTGACCTGATGTCATTCAAGTATAAAATATTCTACAGAACGCGAAGAGGGCTATTCTTCCCTACCACAGAAATGCAATGAAAAGAAAAATTAAAGCAAGCAGACAGCAAATCCAGCACACAAGGTGAAAAACATAAGAAAACCAACATAAGTTCCCTATCCTTGCAGACACCAATTCAGTTCTCACAATACAAAGCCTCAACAATTACAGATTTGCTTGGGTGTAGCTGGATAAGACTGTTGACAAGCCCTCCAGTGCTGAGAGCACAAATTCCACTAACTCTTCTCCATCCCCCGATAACTGGGGAATATCAGCACAGAAAAAATTTTGCAGCACAACATGCATTTTAAATTCAACTGTTTCCAAAAAGTGTCAGAAAGCCATGAAAGCCATGAAACCGTGGCTTGAAACCAAGCATGAAAGCCATGCATGCTACCTCCACACTAGATTTAGCAAGAAAAGTGGAGCTATTGCTAAGACAGAATTAGCTTCCAAGTAAAGCATAAAGCCATATGCTTTCTTGGTAGCTAGTAAAGGTACTTGGGTATTTTTCACAACCAGCTGTGGTAAGAGAATACCAGCTTAAAACTTATCTATGCTAAGATTTTTTTTCATATGAATGAGGTGCCCAAATTTAAATATCTATTACCTACATACTCTAGTAATTTTTTATATAGTGGAGACACAGATTTCTAATAGCGCATGGTCTATCTTGGGCCCAAGCCCAAGATTTCAAAAGACACATGTTCCCAGATGATCCTTTAAAAGAACAAACTCAACCCACTTCAGAGGCAGTAACTTTCTATGTATAGAAACACTGCTTTTCTTTCCTGCATAAAGATAAGGCTTCCATTCACCTCCTCTAGTTCTCCCAAATATTCATCTCTGGCTCTTCACCTTTCTGTAATCTTTGCCCCTTCTTGTCTGCTCCCAAATTTAAGCTGCATTTGTGTCAGAAAGAAACCCAAATCCATAGGGTTTGTAAGACCTATCACTGAACTAATTTCTTCCTAGAGCTGAAATGCACTGCTCTCATTTATAGAAATCCGAAAGGGGAAATTTTATGAAGGCTTATTTCCACGTTAATCTCACTCAGTCCTTGCCATGGGAAGACATCATATCATGTAGCTCCAATGCTCTGAACTGATGTTATTTATTACCAGAACTGGAACATCCATGTACACATGGGCATGTGGTATCTGATTCTCAGCAACACAAATGAGACGAAAATTCATACTGGAAGGAATCCCAGAAAGTTCGTGGTCTGACTTTCTGCTCAAAGAAGGGCCAGCTCAGGGTGTTACCCAGCCTGGTCTTGAAAGCCTCAGTGCATACATGGAGATTGCACAATGACTAAGGAGAAAGGGAGGCTAAGGCTTTATTTTCCTCTGGTTCATAAACCAGTTCACCAAATACCAGCATTCCTCCTTCCAAATAGAAGGAATATACCAATTCTCGCACAGGTTCTCTTAATATTCCTTTTTACATGGACTTCAAGCCTCCTGTATTTGGATGAATTTAAACAACTGGGGAATGGTAGGTTCATAGGTGTAAGAATTTCAGGTCAGCAGCAGCACACAACTTTCATCAACAGTCATGCAGCTGCGAAAACCCCACAGCCAAGGAGCATGAGAGCTACCTGGCAATCTAAAGAAGGGATCAAAGAAACACAACAGCACAATGAAGCCAACCTCTTGAGCTGTGTCCCAGTGCCACACTCGTGTTGAACACATCTATGGCAACCTGAAACAAAAGACAGCTTAGGATACAACTTACAGCCCCACCAACACCACCAGCCCCAGTCTGCAGAGCAAGGTTTACAGCATCTAAACTCCTGTGCCACACAGACAGGCCAGCCTGGCCAGAAGCTAGCATGATGCTAAGCTAAGTGCATGCAATAGTTTTACTCTAGCTACAGGAAGTTTAAGTCATTTGTCTTGAGGTAAGCCATGCGTGAACATGCTGCATGGTAACTGCTGCAAGGAGACCAGTTGTGTGCACGTTCTCACTCTGACAAACGCCAGGTCATTCTGGGTCACTGTTCCCAGGCAGAGGGTGCACTTCATTTCTGGCATGTGGCCTTCAGAAGTGTCGCTCCAGGAAATCAATTAGCATTGAAACAAGACTATTTTTAAGACTAGCTCTTCAAATATATACACATGCATGCTGACTAATCAAAGTCCAGCAGAATGCTAAACACTTTCCAAAGCCAGAATTCAAAAGCACAACCAAACTATTCTAGAGATGGTATTACAACAAGCCTGCCCCACCAGCTAAGGTTTGAACTTCAGAGCGCAGCCCGCAACCAAGCTACTTCATTACGGTGTCTTGGAAAGCAAAATAGCCTGGACCTCAGTAAGCCAAAGCAGCAGTCAGGATTAGGTTGACATAGGCAAGACCAATACACTATTTCAGCCACAATTCACAGTAGTTTAAATAATTCACAACCTGGTCTTGACACTCATCTCCCCAGCAATCAAGCTATGATTTTTTCAGCAGGGCTTATTTGCAATGCAAATAGAAGACGACAGGGAAGAAAGGCCTAGAAACCCTTGGTTTTGAACATATTCATTCATACAGTACCCTATGAAAGGTGGGGAGGAAAGGACAAGTTTTATTTTTCAAGAAAGCTGAAGATGCTTCTTTCACTGCTGCTTCCTATTATATAGGATTATTGCATATTCCCAGCAATCTGTTATAATCTTGAGGTACTTTTTATGTAAAAGTCTCAAAGGTAGAAAGACAGAAAATTCCAGTAACCCTAATAAAATTATCTGAAGACCTTTCTGCCCGTTAGCTGGGAACGAAGCTGAAAGTGTC